CCTACTAGCGCTCACCAAAGTGGACACTCCCTCTTGTGGCACAACTGGGAAATTGCACTTTTAAAACTACTACTCCCATGTCTTGTAAAGATTCATTAACATTTGACCTTTTCACTGGCTAATACACAAAACATTTTAACAGTTGTGACTATACATTTGTAGGCGTCACAGAAACATTTTGAATGAATTTAAAGGAGTAAATATGTTGATTACACCAGAATACAATGAAAACAATACAATTAATGTTACATAATTACATTCATCCTGAGTTTTATATCGGAGGTGAGAAGATATTAAAGTCTGTTATTTACTTGCTAATTAAAGAAAATGTAAAGAACAAGATATTAGAATCAGAGTGAGTTTTATTATAAGAAGGTTTTCAATACAAGGAATTTGCCTTGTTATCTTTGTACATAATAAACATAAAGTGCCAAAAACTATAAATAAAGGAAACACGGACTTCAAGTCAAAAAGCACAAAAATAAAAACATTATAAAGAGAAAAATAAACAATATGTACAATATGACTGTTATATATATTTTTATTTTAGCTCTTTGGTTGTTTGAACTTCTTTAATGCAGGACGAGGCTGTTTATCAGAGGTTCTGTGAATATAGTTTGTGTTCAGGTCTTCAAAGTCAAATCAAACAAAAATGCTGAGATATGTCTACTGTATTTATTTTCTAAAGTTTTCTAACACCCCATAAAACCAAGAAGGCCTCCCGACCTACTAAATAACTAAAGAATACATAATACAGACAGAGAATTGTATAAAAGGTTCCCTAAAATATCAGGAAAACTGGCCCAGGCCCACAGTGGGACGTTGTGGGGAGTGAAAATATGTGTATAAATCATTTTCCAGTGTGAAAGCACTTGTTGGTGGAAGGCAGAGAGTTTAACAGGCAGTTTAGATATTACAAAATCACATTTTAGCAAGAACTCGATGCCACCCAATTTCTTAAACACAAGTGAAGATAAAGAGAATCAAATGTCTTGACCATTCTTAAGAAAAGATTGCAGCCATTTAACCTTTACTACTCCATTCATAATTTCCAAATCTATAGCTTTTATCCCACCTGCTTCATAGCCTTTAAGCAAATTTCCTTTCCTGATGTAATGATGCTTATTTCTCCAAATAAAGTTAAAATTGAATTTATTAATATCCTTTACGACTTTGGGAGATATAGCTAAAGAGTATGCAGGGTAGATCAACCGAGATATAGTTTCTGTTTTAGTTAGCAGAGTTCTACCAAACAGGGTCATGTCTCTCTGCAACCACAGGTTCAGTGTTTTCTTACATTTATCAACAGTATCTTGAATGTTCTTTTTCTCTCTGGTATCAGGGCATCTGGTTATCCAAATTTCGAGGTATCGAGTGTCTTTTTAACAGGTATATTATATAATGAAGTGTCCGAGCAGTTGTGGATGCTCATGAGTTCACATTTGTGGAGGTTCAACCGGAGGCCTGAAGCTTTAGAGAACAGCTCAATTGTTTTCAAGGCCAAAGGAACTTGTTCTTTATTTTTCAAGAACAATGTTGTGTCATCAGCTAGCTGACTCATTACTACGTCTTGACCATTTATGTTTAAACCCTCGATATTGGATTTTTTTATATTAATGGTTAATAATTCAGTAACTGTAATAAACAGAAGAGGTGAAATACTACATCCCTGCCTTATGCCTCTTCCTACTCTGAACCTGGGGCATGTACCTTCTGGGAGGGAAACACAGCTGTTGATATCTGTGTGCAACATAATAATCATATCTAAAAACTTGCTGCCAAATCCAAAGTGCTTCAGTGTATCAAAGATAAATGTATGTTCAACAGAGTCGAATGCTTTATAGAAATCCAAAAATAGCATAAAACCATCATCCTCTATTAAATCACCATAATCAATGAGGTCCTGAACCAAGCGGATGTTGTTGTGGATGGATCTTCCTCTGAGGAATCCTGAGTGACTTGGGCTAATAATCTTTGATATGCCTGATTTTAATCTAGCTGCCAACACTGAAGTGAGAATTTTATAATCTGTATTTAAAAGAGTGATAGGTCTTAAGTTGCCCAGGTGTCTCTTATCTTTCCCAGGTTTATGTATTCATTTTATTACGCCCTGTTTCATCGTTGTCATTAATTCTTTGTTATTTATACATTCATTTAAAGCCTTCAGTAGCAGTGATTTGATGTCTTCCCAGAAATGTTTGTAGAAGTTGGCTGTTATTCCATCTGGGCCTGGTGCACGATCAAATGCTATTTTTTTGACGATACAGTCAAATTCACCCATTCTTAAATCCTCCTCACATATTTCCTTAAAATTATCATCAATTACTGGAATCTCCTCCTTCATTTTTTCAAAAAATAGCTTAGCATTTCGTTCAGAGTATGAAGATGTATAAAGTTTGCTGTAGAAATTGAGAACCTCTTTTGTGATTAGATTTGTTTCTGTGCATTCTTTCCCCTCTATTATGAGGCTGCAGATTGCATCTTTCTCTTGTCTACGTTTTTCTAAATTACAGAAATAAGAAGTATTTTTTTCTCCATCCTCAATCCACTTGGCTCTGGATCTTATGTATGCTCCCTGTGCTCTATTTAAGTAAAGTTCATCAAACTGCGATTGGAGGATGCTGATCCTTTCTTTATCTTCTGCACTCCAGTTTAACTTGCTATAATATGAGAATAGTTCTTTGACCAAATTAGTTGCATTTGCTTTTCTTTCCCCTTCTATTTTTTTGCTGAAATAAATTGAGTAGTTTCTAATTGTAAACTTTAAATATTCCCATTTCTGTATTGAAGTAGCCAGTGTGTCATCCTTTTGGATATCTAAGATGATCTTCTTTATATTGTTACAATAAACCTTATTTGTTAACAACCTTGCATTAAATTTCCAATAACCTTTGGATTTAGTAGACATATTGTTTTTAGTTAGACTCAAATTAATTATACAATGATCACTCAAGGGGCTATTTGAAATATTTGTTCCTGCTGCATGTTTTAAGATTGAGTTTGATGTCAACCAGTAATCAATTCTTGATTTGGCCTGTCCGTTAGGCTTAAACCAAGTAAAATACCTCCTTTCCTTATTAAGTGTTCTCCAGATATCTATCAAGTTATTATTGTTGATGAAGTCGCCTATAATCTGATTATTATGTTCTGATGAGTCCTAGATGGCCACCTATCCATCCACTCATCAGGAGTTAGATTGAACCTCCAACCAGTAAATAATCTTTAGTTCCTTAACAACTGCATTGTTATACCCATAAACATTAACCAAAATAATGAGCATATTATCTACCGCCAGTACACAAGCTACCCAATGACCATCACTCAACACGTGTCCAAGTGTGGCGCGTAAATCAAAAGCATAAACCGACTGTTTGTAATGACGTCAGAGAGTTTTGCCGCCTTGTAGTTTAAATGAATCAGAGACAAACTACAAACATCGTGATTCAACCTACAAAACTCAGAAATTCCCGACACAAAGTACATATAAGTAATGTTTTATCTCGTGTTTATCACAAACGTTACTGACCTCCTGAAGTTTGTAGTTTGAAGACAATAAATCCAAATGTCAGGAGTAGTTGACTTCTGCATTACATCCGTAGTGGTTTAGCACTACCATAGAGAATGAATGGGAAACGGTCTGATGAAGGTGTGTTTGGTAAAAATTGTGCTTTTTCTCTGCTCTGTCTCCCTTTTTTTACCACACGCACTCTTCCCAATATGAATGCACACACAGCACAAATCCTCTCACTCAAGGATAACTCCATTTCTTAACATCATCTGCCTTATACAAAACAACTACATACATTGATGATGTACACCTTCATAGAGGGAACATCAGCCAACACCCAGTAGATACATGTTACCTTGTGCTTCTCACATATGTCAGAATCATCAGAGTAAAGTAGAATTGAAAGTGTGAATTTGCACTGTTGTAAGGTTTTAACTGAATATTTAAAAAAGCACCTTCTTCTTGTCATGTGATATGGCCTTTTATTGTTCTTTATGTATCTTGGGGAGAAAACTAAAGAAATGCAGTGTATACTGTAATTACAATGATATTTTTATTTCATTTTTTTCCAAACGTTTTCAACAGAGCAAGAGCATATCAATGGGAATATGCATGTGTTTCTCATTAATGCCATGTTATATTTTTGGCTGCTGCTTCACTTTGAATGCATGTTACACAGTTGAATTGTACATTTCAATTTTAATGTTAATGTTAGTGATTCATTGGTGTTAATAACAAAATAAAACATTTCATTATATATTGTATTTCAGTTGCTGCTTTGTGGTAAAAGTATATGCATAGAGAAAATGATTACATTGATTTGGTCAAATTCATCAAAACAAAATCACATTTACATAATTGTAGTGAATATTATAACTGCAGACATAGAAGGAATTTAAAATGTCAAACAGAATAAATGTAATAAAATGTACTTATTGACTTCATCACAGTAAATATCACTGATATATAAGATTTACTTTCTATTTTTATGACAGCAATGTCTCGTATATGAAAATATATAATTGACTTTACTCAGTTAAACTAAATATAACTTGTAATGTAGAAATAATTAAACAACATTTACTTTATATTTTTACTAAAGTTTAGTTGAGTGGTGAGTAAATTTGACTTGATACTGGCAACTGAGTTGTACTTGATATTTCAGCAGTAATATTTACTTAAACATTGTTACAGAGATTATATTAAGTAAATCTTACCAGTTGTTTTTTTCAGTGTCCTTTCCCCCCTTTTCCTTTGCATGGACAGGGAGGGACACACTGGAGCTGGCCAAGGCCATCTGGCATCTACTTTTCTCCACCAAAAACCTGAGGTGGACCACACTGCACAGACCCTCCTGACAATGGACAATATTATACAAGTGTCTGATGTGATGAGAGAACTGTGTCCACCATTCACTGAGGAGGAGCATGGAGAGGAGGAAACCAACCAGCTTCCTGATGGAATCTACTTTCTCTTCCTTCCTCCCTTGCAGGTCCAAGGGCTGTATGAGGCAGAGCAGAGGGGGAAAGAGAGGGCAAGGACATGAAGAAAGGATGCTCCTCGGTTGTACACCGCTCTGCATTCATGGTAAGCTTTTCAGTTTCTATTTCACCTTTCATTTAGAGTTTTATTTGGTAGTGCACTGCCTCATCTCTTGTGTTTCATCCAAGGAGCTGTGACTGTTCCTTCCTGAGCGTGCAGCACGGGGAAGGTACGCCGGGTCACCTCACTTTCCTCTCTCAACCAATAACACAACATATTCTGACTGTCAATCCCCAACAAACAGCCACCCTCCTCAGAGTCTTTTTGTGCCACCCAGACTGACAGTTTGAACGCACGCACAAACCCTAACCGTCCTATATCAGCAAACCACAGAGCCACTAACACCCACGTTGTTCTTTTATTTTCTGACAAATGTCTGTCTTTACTCTTCTGTTCTGTACACATTCTTTCTGTCTTTGTCCTGTTGTTCTGTATTTTGTTTCTTGTGTTAAAATAATAAAAGAAAACTCAAGAACATCCTCAGAATTTAGATCAGGCCAATGTTTTTATATCACTAGAGTCACAGAACTATTTACAGAACAAGGTTTTTTTTAAAATAAAAGTTGCTATATTTTCTTAAATACAGACACATTTTACACGTTTGATACTTATTAAAAGTAAATTATCTGTTCTCATGTCAGCCGAGCACTCCCTCAGCCCTACTGCACAGCTTTGCACTGAACCGTGCTCCAGCATTCTTTAAACACAGTTGGTTCCTCCTAGACCGGCTCCACTGGAAGAACCACATTGGTCAGCAATGCTGTACTTTTACTGTGTGCTGGTTGAAGTGTGTATAATGCTGACAGTGATCTGCAGCACGCTATCATCAACAGCCAGCTGGCAGAGCAGTTTAATGCTCATTTGAAAGGAATCAGGCACCACCTGCCCAAGTCTAATATTTATGCTGTCAAATGTCTCATTTCTGACTTGTTGTCGTCATACATGAGTTATCTTATGAAAGGATGTCAGATGTGTTTTTACAGGTTACACAAAGCAGTTCTGTTGTGTCATATCACACATTTGGGATTCATTGTGGTTGTTATTAAGTTCACAAACCATGGTTACAGTGAGAGATACAAACTATGATGATTCAGTCTATCTAACCTGCTGCCACTCCCCGAGTGTCTCTCTCCCTCTCTCTAACTGTATGTGTGTGTGGTTGCCTGAGTGCAGACAGGTTCCAGCTTCCAGTCCAACCCTCAGCCCCAGGTTCACACCCACCAGCCCAAGCTTGCCCAGGTCTGCACTCCCCTCTCCCCCCTCTTTTCAATAAACACTAGTTTCCTATTAAGTCCCTGTCTCCTGGAGTGTCTGCATGTGTGTTCACGAGCTCAGTCTCAACACAAACTGGTTAGGGGATGAAAAGGTGAGAAGGAGGCTTGAGCTGAGAAAATATAAAGCGGCAAGGGGGTATACTCTGGAGATTCTTTATTTTAGTTTAAAATAAGCTGCTGAATACTGATTTCTGATGACTTTAACTGGTCACAAGATAACACAGTTACAATATTCAACAAGTGAAGTAGAAAGTCTTAATTCATGAGATCAAGATTAGTATTTTTGTGTCCATGATGGTTTGAGATGTGTCTCTCTGTTCTCCACTGCAGTATAATAAGAATACCTTACAATAAACTCAAAGGTACATTTAAATGCTGATCCAGGATCAGTGTCATTACCCCAAACTTAATATTTACTGACATTAGAGAACACTTTAATTCAGTCCTGTAGCTCACACATGCCAAGACGTTTGTACAAAACATAACAAACTTGTGTTTTCAGCTGTGTTTGCTCTGCTGCTCTTCCAATGCGTGCTCCTTCCAACGCCGCACACAAACTTACACACTACTAACTTCCAGCTAGCCCATCCGTGTTCACGCAGCACCACAGTGGAAGCAAAGCAGAGCAAACAAAGCCAAAACACAATTTTGTTCTGTTTTTCAAAACATCTAGGAATGTGTAAGCTGCAGGACACTTGGATTACTTCAGATGAGCAATATGGAGACATTTTTTGGATGTTTGAAGCCAAGTTGCCGTTCAATGCAGTTTTGTGAGAAACAAACATCTCGGCAAACTCCCAGAAGAGCATGATGAGTCCTTCTATCGGCATCGGGGTGAGTAGACGATGACAGAAATTTCATCTTCGGGTGGCTAAAATGGGTTTGAGGTAGCTTGTTAAAGGCACAAGGACAAGTTCAGGAACTGTTTGCATAGAGCATACGTAGCCTATCGTTTGGAGAGGCTTTTTAACCTTAAACTCTGGAAAACATTTGACATGCTGGTGCATCTTAAAAGACATGCTTACTATTCCTTTTTATCTTAAAGAACAGTGTTTTGCTCTGAGGTTCTAAACGTCTGTTTCTGTATCATGAGTAATATCCTACAAAAAGCAGAGCATCTTGACACTAAAAAGTGCGATATTTGGCCCCTCGCTCTTTTCATGCCCACACTCACATCCGTGACCCATTAAAAATGGCCCCACGAGCCACCAGTTGAGAACCTCTGGTTTAACTTGAAAATGCTGATCTAACTTCTTTTCTTTTGTCCCCAAAACGTAGCCACTCCACATGGCCACATACAGTATTTAATACAGCGCAACAAGTTCAAATAAAAATGACATCATTAAAACGAGAGAAAAATAAGAAAATAGACAAATAGCCACATTAACAACTGTGCCGTATACATGTGCACTCAGACTCAAGTTTGTTTCGCAGAGACAGGATTTTCGGGGACAGCTTAGGGACATCAAGCTCTAGAAGAAGCTTTTGAAAAACTTCCAAAGTGTACTTTGTTTTTGGGGGTAACTCAAATTCATGGCATAAATGATGCTCATGAGCAGGAGACAGGCCTTTGTAACACTTCCATAGTTGTCAAGTACCTCAGTCCCTTCAATAACAATGGACACATCAGTGTCGGATGCACCTTCATCTTCTTCACTTGTGTGGAAGACACAGATCCTCAGGACTTGCTCAGCCTGGTCCTCTTGAACTTCCTCTCTGCTGATATCCTGTAAAATATATGTGAATCCATGTTCAGGTGCATAGTACATATTCTGCTTCATTTTCATTTGGAATAGTATGTATATTCTGTGATGATGGTAAACCTCTTACAACTTATGAATTGCAAAGCACTACACAATTTTGTTTTTACCTGAATAGCCAGATGGCTTTTCTTGTGACACAGCTTGCTGTAGTTGCTGTTTGAGATGGCACTGTGTCAACTGTACAAAGTTGTTGCTTTGGGCTTAAGGACAAAAACACAAAGACAAAATAATACATTAAAACTACAGAATACTACAAGAAATACTACATTAAAACTAGAGGATCATGTAACCAAAATGAACTGTACCACTGTCAAACCAATGTATTTTGGATAATATTTGAAAATATGGCTCTGATCTAAAACATTACACCCATTTCCACATGTGTTAAATCTTAAATGAAGAAAATCCTGCATTTTTGCCGCTGTGATTCTGTTCCTCTCCTCCAAGAGCATTGCTGGTCTAGATTCACGTTGTTGAGAGAGAGCTGTGTCATATGCATCAAGAATAATGCAGAATCCAAATTGAAACAGTGTAAACGGAATCAGAATAGAGAACAATGAGGCTTCATATCAAATTATGAGCAAAATATAGACGAGGGGATTAGAAAGAAAGGGATCCAAACAAGGTGATGGTCCTTATGAAGCATGTGGAAGAAAATGATCACAGGAAATGTTTTTGGATAGATCATTTGAATTTTTTCCAATTTCCACAAATGAATCTGAATTTCAGATACTTAAGGCTCATCAGTAGCTCTATAACAACTCAAAAAGATGGAAAGTGCATCATTTCTACAAGTGGTGGTTCTTTTAGTTGAAATAAGACACATAAAGTATTTTCATATATGGAATAAAAATATACAGCCACAGTAAGAAACAAATCTGAAATGCCAATAAATGAAATCATATTTATCCTGATAAACTGAGTGACATTTTGTGGGAATGAACATCTCTCCTGACCTCTGTTTGCTCTGTCTCAGTAAGATTTAAGATTTGTGGCAAACTACGAGTACACTGCAAATGAACAAAAACCATAGCTTCCTCTTTAGCTTAAATAATGATTAGCAGCAGGGTTTTGGTGAGGTCTGGTAGAGGCTCTCCAAACCGACGCTGCGGATATTTGAAACGTTTTCTCTCCTCCCTTCCCCTCCTATGTGTAGCGGTTGTGTACTCTGTCGTTGCCTTGAGTTCATTATGCGAAGGAAACTCATCATTTTGGCAAACCCGCCATTTATCCACAGCATCTAGCGAACTATTAATTATACAGTCAGTCCCGGTTTCAAAACACTATTACAAACACTATTAAAACTTACTTGGTATTTCTAAGTTCATGGGCAATGACTATGAAACCTTTGAATATTATGTGAAAATACACAATAAAACTTACTCTTCCCACACAGTTTATTTATTACATGAAAGACATATATAGTTTTACTTGAATAATTCCAGTTCTCACTGATACTTACAATTAGAAAATAACAATTGTGACAGTTAACCTAATAAATATTACTACACCAAAAAATGTATGGCTGAACAGACACAGGAAGGAGCGCCACCTAAACACACTCAAACATTTACAGGACAACTAATGAGAAGATGTCAAAGTACCGCCCACAATGTTTGATTGACAGCTGATCTCTGTGCAGTGAAGAAACGCCACAACAATCAGCTCTCAGCAACAAACATGAAGACAAAATCAGTTTAAGGATTCAAACTCAGAGTTTAACACAAAGTCCCTGAAATGACTTCTGTCTATTTCAGTTTATAGAACTCAGCAGTGGATCCAGAATAAAGCCAAAGTCCAGCATAGAGAGGCTGAGTGAATGTGGTCTGGACTCTGTGGAGGAGAGTCATGGTTTCAGAGACGCTGTAGAAGGACAGAATACCTGCACTGTGATCCAGATACACTCCAACTCTGGAGGACTGAGGAACTGAGACAGGAGTTGAGACATTGTTGTAATAAAAGTTATAACTGTTATTGTTACAATATAATGACCAAGATTTGTCATTGCCTCCAAATGCACATTCATATAAGCTCCCTGCTCTGCTGATATTCTTGTATGCGACTGCTACATAAACTCCCCCCTCTCCACTCCACCTCCCAGTAACAACGTCCAGTCAGACTCTCTCTACTCAGGACCTGAACACATCCAGTGAATCTGTCTGGGTGACTAGAATAAGACTGTTGTTGACTCATGAATGTTACTTTTCTGTTCCCCTCAGATAATAACAGCTGTGTGTGTGCTGTGTTTGGATCCAGTGTGAGTTCACGTGAATATTGTAAGAATCCAGCTCTGGTTTTGGGCTCTGGTTGTGACAGTAAAACATCCACTTCAGTCACTGTCAGTGAGACGTTTGTCCATTTGTCCCTCAGAACGTCCTGTAGTTTATCTCTGAGCTCTGACACAGCCGCTGTCACATCCTCAAAGTACCTCAGAGGAAGGATATTGATGCTGGATGTAGATTCACTGAGTGCTGACAGTGAGGGGTAGTTGTGTAGAAACTGGGTGTGGTCCTCTGTGTGTGACAGCTTCTTCATCTCAGCGTCTTTCCTCTTCAGCTCAGTGATCTCCTGCTCCAGCTTCTCCTGAAGCTCTTTGACTCGACTCACTTCAGTTTCCTGCTGGGATCTGACCTGCTGCTTCACATCAGAGCTTCTTTTCTCCATGAGACGGATCAGCTGAGTGAAGATCTTCTCACTGTCCTCCACTGCTTTATCAGCAGAGCGATTGATAGCCTCCACCTCCCGTTGAAGCTCCTTCACATCTTTCTCTCTGTCCTGGATTCTCTGCTGGATGTTTTGTCGACTCACCTCGAGCTCTCTCTGCCTCTCAGTCCTTTCTGCTGCAGCTGAGACTGTGTCGTGGCCTTTATGTTCATCCATCAAGCAGAGATAACAGATACACTGCTGATCAGTACGGCAGAAGATCTTCATCACCTCATCATGACGAGAGCAGATGTTCTCCTGGAGCTTCTTGGAGGGGTCCACCAGCTTGTGTTTCTTTAACTGAGCCACATCATAATGAAGCTGGAGGTGTTTCTCACAGTAAGAAACCAGACAGACCAGACAGGACTTGAGGGCTTTCAGTTTTCTCCCAGTGCAGACATCACAGGCCACATCTTCAGGTCCAGCATAGCAGAGATCAGCAGGAGCAGCTTGGAGTCCAGTCTTCTTCAGTT